TTTTTATCACACTTATTTCTTTTCAAGTATATTAATTAGAGCCAAAATAAAGGTGAAAATAATTAATTCATAATGAATTTTTATATTAAAGTAGGCAGTTTTTATAAGCATAATGAATAGAACAAAATATTAAGAATTAAATTAAAGTAATAGTACAATAGAGTAGTGAATAGATATTACAATAACTCACAAAAGAAAAGAAAGTGAAGTAATAACAAAATAAGTTAATGGTAATAACAATAACAAAAGATGTTTCTAGAACTATTTAATTTTCTTGGTATCATTCTTGGTAGATTTTTATTAGCGTGAAATTATATTTTACCCTTGATCATAATTCACTTAATATATAAAAAGATGTTTCTAGAATTATTTACTATCTTTCTTAATAGATTTTGTTAGAATGAATTACAATTTTACCCTTGATCGTCCTACCACTTCACTCTTCTATATAATAGATAATAGATAATAGATAATAGATAATAGAAATATATATATACACACATGTATAATTGAAGCATAAAGAGAGAGAGAGGAGGAAGAAGAGGCTGGGTGCTAAAGGGCAACTAAGAACTAGACAAACCTGATCAGCAAGTTGTGCAGCGAGAACAAGAGCTGGTCCCCACAACTGCCCCTCTTGTGCACATTGTAATGCTTCTTTCTTTCTTCCAGATACTAGAAGACTTTGAAGCTCAGAAGCCGTAGTCTAGAGCATGTAACGAGAATGGTTGGCTGATCTAGCAAACAATCAAAATAACAACTAAGAACAGAAAGTTGCACAAGAATTACCCGCATCTGTCCAGAGGGCAATTGCTGCAAGCACTGGGCAACAATTTCATATTGATTGAGTTGCATCCCGTTCCTCTTCACAGAAGCAAACAATTTGGCTACCGTTGTTTCTGGAATATACATCACTTTCCTGTTAAAGTAGCAGAACCAAACTAGCAACAGCTACTAAGTTTGTTGATTTTGGTTAAAATAAAATTAGACAAGCTATTTTTCGCGCTATCAAGCTAGATGATTGTACAAAATAAAAAATCTAAAATGCATTAAAAAAAGGAAGACATACCTTGCATACTCTCTTTTGACAAGGTAAAAAGGGAACACAAAAAAGCAAACTTCGCCAAGTTTAGCCAAATATTGTGAAGAGCATAAATTACATAAATTCATAACAGCTAGAACATCAATACTCTTTCCTAGTTAGTAAAAGGTATTACAGTACCACAAGCTATGGTGTTAATTCAAACAAAAGATTTCTTCAAATGACAATTGACTCAAGGCTTCATGTATTTCTGTAGTGAAAATCATCAAAGAGAACACAATATAATGAAAAAGAAACACATCCCCCCAAATTCCTCCAGAGTCCAGCCACTCTATGAGATAGAAAGTGATGTAGAGAATGGAGCGGAACTAAACTAGACATTTCAGTGCCCAATATCTAACCTACTTCACAACTCTGCTCACATGGTGATGCAAGCGCCTAATTATTGTTTCTTCTCTCTTGGTTATTATATGTGGGGCAGTGCTATTACTACCACTATATACTATTTATTTGTTCAACTGCAGTCAACATCCAATACTGGATTTTCTTTCTTGTTTTCTACCTAATGATCTCATCATTTAGGGAAGAGAAGCCAGTTGAATTTCTTAAACTTGGGGGAGATGTACCCATCCCGTAGGTGATCAAGTCAAACAATAAAAATATAGAAATTACAAAGGATATGTTAGACCCAAAACATGTAAGACACATAAGAAACCATAATAAAAGTCGGAATGTGTTGATACCATAAATTTTCGAATCCAACTAAAGCAAGACCAGGTTAGATGGAGATATCAATGGGCAGTAGGAGTGAAACGAGTTTATATGCCTAAAAAGGCAACACAAACAGGAAACAAAAGGCAGTGGAATAAAACTGTACTTAGTTGGACCAGAGCTTGATTTAAACCAACAGTTCATCTTGAAAGGTTAAACAATTAATCAATAACTAAATACAGGCATGTTACTCCTACAAATTTTCAAATCTTACCTTCAACACAGCCTCAGTACCAAAAGGAGAACGGAGACATGCTATTTTTAGCAATGACAGAAGCAACCTCAAAACTTCGCCTTTCCTGTAAATCCATGTCAGGAGATTCAGAGTTTTGAAATCCTCTCATCAATCCATTTATTCAACTCCTTGATACTGGGACTACCACCAACTAGTGGACCAAGGAATGATTGTCGACACAAAGCTCGGGTATAGTCGCATGCCCCCATCGCAAGACTTGAACTGTCAACTCTCTCAGAGACAGCATCCATCAAATTGAGCAAAGATATTGAACCTCCTACAGGATTCCTTACCCACCATGTACAAATACTTTCAATCATCAGTAAGAGTACTGCAACCCAAAACATTGGGGAAAGACAAAGAATATAAAAAATTGACACAAACCTGACTTCCAAAGGATGAGTTTCCAGAAGAACTATAATCTTTCATCACAATCAGTTTTCCACCAAAACCAAAAGTAACCAAAGCATGTGGTGGACGGCCAGCAGATGATCTTCCTGCAGTGGGAGCATGACCAAACTGCTGGCTGCTCTGAAATGCTTGCTGGGAATAATTGGCTGTAGTTTGAGTCCCATAATAATCATTTGAGGCATGCTTCTCCTCATGTTGCTGGAGTGTTGGCTGACTAAATTGATGACTGAAACCCCCACCAGGGAGAAATCGTTGGTCATTTTGATTTTGAATTGCTTTTGCATTGTATGGAACTGTTCCCTCATAATGATTAGATATTTGCCTATTAAAATGACTGCTTGCCGAAAAATCTTGGTTGTGGTGGTTCTCTAATTGCTGGTTCCCACTATATTCTGACATATGGTTACTCTTTGCAGCATTTTCATTTTGTGACATATTTGAGCTATGCTTATTGTAATTACCTAAAGTGCCAGACCAGTTGTAATCTCCTCCGCTGCTGCTAAACCCTTGGAATCTACTATTGTCACTCCTATGGTGTTGTCTTACAACTAGGGATTGCAAACTATATGCCTAATGGAAGCAGCAAAAGTGGCCTTCTAGACTGGCCTATGAGATATAAGATAGCCATGGATGCAGCTGAGGGACTCTCTTACTTGCATCATGACTGTGCTCCACCCAGAGATGTTAAGTCAAATAACATCTTCCTGGATGGTGAGTTTGCTGACTTTGGTGTTGCAAACGCGGTCGATGCCAATGCGTCCATGTCTGTTATTGCAGGGTCTTGTGGTTACATTGTTCCAGGTTAGTTAATTAACTTTTTCACTTTTCAGCTTCAGTTTCATGAGTTTGTGTTGAATTTGTTCATATTGAGTTTTACTTGCAAATTGTTATGCCTGTAAGTTTCTGGATTACTTTAGCCTTTCAAAAATGAGATCTAGTATTACTGTAGCTATGTGGCATCTATTGTGTACAAGGCTAGATCTATCTATCTATATACTACAATATTTCCTAGATATTCCACATTTGTTAACTACTCTAATAAACTTCTGATAGATATTGGTAACAATGCACCATTGCTCTAGATCATAGTTTGTGAACAGTTAAGTAGGCTACACGAGTTTCCATAACCAAGTTAAACGGCTCTGATTAAATCGTTCTTGAGCACAAAAGACTGTATTAGGACTGTAGAAAAAGATATACTTAGCTTTCCACTTATTATGTTTGATAGTTGCATAAAGATTAGAATTCCACTAAGTATCTAATTCATAAACTTTAAATTCTGGATCTGCATCTAATTTTATCCTGAACGGCTCCATGAGCAGATGCTGATTTAGCATTTGGCCACTGTTTCCCTCAACTTAAACCATGTTTATGCGTGTGTTTGTGTTTTGGTTTAGCGCTCTTTGTTGTTCGATATGAGAAAGGACCAACTTTTGTGACTTCAAAGATCATATAGAAGCTAATTAGTGTCTTCTCATATTCTGGTTGGCCCAAATGTATACCCTTGATTCCATGTGCAAATCTCACAGATGTCTTTCTGACTTTCCTAGTTCACACTTATTTTAACGAGCATCTTGCAGCACTTCCTGAAAGAAACATTGTAGGCATTGGAAAACTTATGAGTTGATATTTTAGCTTAGGACTGAAAATTCTGTTAGTCATTTAAGTTATCCTTCACTCCTGCCACTAACGGAGAATGCTGTTCTAGGGAGGATTCTGTTCTCATACTTGGAGGATATTCAGATGAGGTTCATGAAGAACCAGTGGCGGATCCAGGATTTAATGGTTGTGGGTGCTCAAGCCAAAAAAAATAATCTTTCTAGAAGCTTACTAATGTTTTTAGTTTAGTTAGTAGATGAAATACAAAAAATAAAAAAGTTGAAAAACAATTTAAAAGAATATAAGCAAAAAGTCAACCGTAAAAGTATATATAAAAAGAACAGTAAAAAAACTATGAAAGAAGAAATTCCAGTTTGCTTTTTTCAACCAAAATATAGATGTTGTTACCAGGACTCGAACCCTCGGTGGAGGGGGTCAGTGATCTTTAAATTCACCTCCAGAACCAACGCAACAGTGAGGCCTTTTGTATAATGGGTGCTAACAAGTTTTTTATATCAATTAACCAGTATTTTCTATATGCATATATAAAGTTTTCGTCGGGGTGAATGGGTGCTCAAGCACCCGAACCTCTCTATGTGGGTCCGCCCCTGTGAAGAACTATGGAAGCTGGCTTCTTATGCTCCTGCCTATTCCATGAATGATGAATTCTCAAGGGTCTTGCATCAGCAAATGGAGTTCTTCTCAAGTAAGTAATCCAAGTGCAGATACACTAAATCGTGTCAGAGGAGAAGTTGGTGAGGCAAGTATCTTTTCTGTTTACTTGCGCCAAAGCGCGTGAAGCTTAAGGATTCTTTGTTTCATCTTCATTTGTTTTCCTTTTATTTGTCTTTTGTTTTATCTGTCTTTTATGCTTCAGGTATTGTGTCTATGGATGCATGCATCAACTCTCCAAGATATCCACAGTTTATTAAATTATCAATGGTTTTATATTTTTGGAAACTAAATAAGCTCCTACAGAACAGGTATGCATCAAGTTTCAATTAAGATAATTTGAAGTGTTGAAACTCTCAATCATTTTTGATGATTTTCCAATTTCCAATATTCAATCACTGCTAAAATAACTTCTCCTTTCCCTTAATAACCTTTGATATCTGAATGCCTCCTCTTCAAGTACTATCAAGCTTTTATCTCCACTTCATAGAACTCCAGAAGCAATTAATGATCCTAACATCTCATGCAGGGACAATCATCATCACCTTTGTGAACTATAAACTTCCTCTAGTCTATTTTATATTTTGTATGATACTCTTTCCTTTTACTTCTTTCCAAAAAGAATAATATTTCTCTCAGTAGGAAACTCTTTAACTTTTGTACTTCTCATTTTGACTTTGGTGGCATAGAAATGTTATGTCATGTTTAAGATGACTTTGTTTTATATTATACGACAATGTTTTTTATATCGGTATCATTCCAAGCAGATGCAATATTTTCCTTTAGGCCCCGTTCCCCGCTGCACATGTTGCACTTTGGCCTTCAATGTTTCTTGCATGCAGGAACTGTGCATGGATTTATGTCAATCCCAATTGCACTATCCACCTCAATTGGATCACAAATAATTAACACCATAATTACCATCATTAGCATAACTCCAACACTCCTCTAAACAAAAATAAATGCAGACCATAATATTGTATTCATATCTTAGTATTAAACAAAAATAAATTAAAGATATGAAGTATCACATTCAACTAGGCATGTACCATTTCTAATGTACCACTAGGCCATGGGAGGAAGGCTCGGGGCGGGCGGCCTCTATAAGGGGTGCCTTGGGGCACGGGGATGGGGGGTGGTGCCTCGGGGCTGTCAAGTGTACACTTATGGAACTTAAATATGCTAAAATTTCTTAAACTTGTTGAAAAATTATAAAAAATTTAGCATATAAATTGATTTAAAATATTTATTCTTTTACTTACAATTTTATTATTAATATTGCAAATTTTTTTCATTTACTATTATTTAGGAATATCCTTTTTTATTTATTTAAATCAATTTAGTTTGTTTTTAAAATTATAAAAATCAAACTATATCAAATAAAATAAAATTTAAACTAGAACCTTTATTTTAGTTTGATTTTTTGATTTATAACTAGTTAATAAATTGATAATAGCGAATTATAGAAACATGAGACAAATAGTTTAAATGAATATTAGAAATCAACAAATATTTCTCTATATAATTTTGTCCCTTTACCAAAAGGGCTCCTTAGTGACCGTTAGGTAACCATCTCTCGCCAAAGCTTCTGTTTGGTAACTTTTGGAATAAATGGCTCTGAAAGAAGAAAGAATGTCATCTTTTAGGAATAAAATAAAGACTGAAGAAAATGTTCACTGAGTTTTCTGGTTTTAGTTGTAAGATTTCTTGATCGTTGAAAATGGGAGGGAGATGGGGATTTCCGATTTCAAGAATTTAGGATCTTTTTTGGTTCCGATAGCACTTCACTGAGATTTCTGGTTTTACTATCGATCTTTCAATTTCTTGATGTTGGAAAATGAGAGTGGTGGGGGTTTCCGATTTCAAGAATGTACCCACTCGTTTTTCTCTGTTAACCGTAAGATTTCTTTATCCTTGAAAATGGGGGTTTTCGATTTCAAGAATCCAGGATGTTTCCTTCTTGCTTTACTGTGATTTCTGGTTTTACTTGTAAGATTTCTTGATGGAAAATGGGAGGGGTGGGGGTTTCCAATTTCAAGAATTTAGGAATAAACTTGTGAATAACACTGAAAATCTTAGTTGGTTTGTGAGTTTTCCATCTTTACTGTTGTTTAGTTCTTGCTTCATTTCTGTTTTGGGTATTATTTTGCACTTCACTGATATTTTTGATTTTAATGATAAAAATTTCTTGATTGTTGAAAATGTGAGGGGTGGGGAATTACAGAAATGTTTTTGGAATTACAAAAACTTGTAAGATTTCTTGATTATTGAAAATGGGAGGGATGGGGATGGGGATGGGGGTTTCTGATTTCAAGAATTTAGGATGGGAGGGATAGAGGATTGGGATTTCCGATTTCAAGAATATAGGATGGGTGGAGAATTTACCTATGGAAAATCTGTACCCTACAACTTTATAGTTGGAAGTGGAGATGTGCTTCATTTGTTTCCTATTTTGAAATGCAATTACCAGATTGATGTTTCTGCTTATTATAGGCAGGTAATGTTCAATTTTCTCTCCTTGCGGGTTTTCGTCTAATCATCTTAATACTTAAAATATGTCTTAGGTTTCTCACAGTGAGGGACAATGAATTAAGGGTTATAGAAAAGTTTCAAAATTAAGGATTGGTGACTCAAGTTTTAATTATTGAGTAGGGGTGATATTAAAAATTAAGGGTTGAATTTCTATCCCTAAGTTTTTTTATTTTACACTTTAGTTCATCTTATATAAAATTCTAAATAATAAGAAATTGAGGGGGAAAAAGAGGGTACCAACGGCTCACTTTTTTTCCCTTTTTCTCTCTTGCTTATTCTTCCATTGTTGGGGACCATTGTTGCTGCTCTTCTTCTTGATTCTTCTTCTCCATCATCATTCTTTCTTGTTGTTCATCACCATCTTTTTCTGGTTGTTCATCTTTTTTTTTCTTCAGTTGATATTCACATAATACTGCTGCTTTTAGACCAATTTTCATTCATATATCATTAGGCTAATCATAGGTGATTTTGGTAAGTAAACTAATGATTTTTACTCTAATATTTCATTTTGGTAATTTGAGTGTTTCTTAAAAAATTTATAGCCGCGTACTCAACAGGTAAGTCACTTGTTGCAACAGATAGATTACATGTTGGATACATATTACAGTACCATGTCAAGCTGGGACTGAACCAGAAGCTTGTCCCAA